GGATGATTTTAATATAATTTTAATTACGACACAGCTACTAATATTTGGCTTTTAATTTGGTTTTAGAGGGGTTTTTATTTTGGTATTTATTTATTTTATTTTGGTATTTTATTGTTACTTGTTTTTAATATGCTGTGCACCGCCCTGAGTCCTTCGGGAGAAGGGCGGTATATAAATCAAATTAATAAATAAATAATAATAAATAAATTAATTAATAATAAGCTGGAAAATGCATCGGTAGGAACGCAACCCAGCGTGCCTGCACACAAACACACCTACACCCCACACAGATGCTGGGCGGGCTCTAGCTTAGAGGAGCCCCGTTCCTTTTTCTTCTTTTTATTCAATTTGTTATTTTATTTTATTCAGAGGATGAAAAAAAAGACAAAATCCAAAAGGGAAAAAAAATATATTAAAGGGACAAAACAAAAGCGGACCAGCTCACGACACAAAAACCGGACGAGAACATATTTCAAAATGCCCGTTAAAAAGAGCAACTCCGGGCCTAGCATTTTTAAGCCCTGAGACCTTTTTTCGAGGTTGCCGACTTGAAAGAAACCAAGCCGTTCGCTTTCCAGGTTCCCAGATTCTGGAAGCATCCTTAATTGCTGCGATTGTGTGTGTGTGTGTGTGTGTTTTTTCTTCCCAGGGCTTCCGGCCCCTGGGGTGGGTATTCAAAATACGCTCGCCCCAAAGAGATGTCCTTATTTGGTGCACAACTTCTGGAGTCTGGGGCTCCAGGGAGCTTCTCGCCATTCGGTGTGGGGCGTTGCAGCTCACCCCTGTTTAAAGACAAGAACAGGTGGCCAGCTCTCGGCCACCCCGTCGTTTCAGGGGTTTTTTTTTGCTTCGGCCATTAAAAGAAGCGTCCTTCCCCGGAGATTTTGGCAAATCAGTTTGGGGGTCTCGGTGGCAGGCGTTCAAAACCAAATCAGTGCTCTGCTTCATTTGGCCTCCGGTGGCTACGAGGGTCTCCCCTTTGGCTGGGGGATTCCAGAGAAGGAGGAATGGCTGCCTCTTCACTTTAAAACAGGAGAAGGTAGTTTGTCATCTTCACACTGGGGGGGGGGGGAGAAGGTCCACAAGAAACAAAATGGGTGGAATTGGTGGACATAAATCAAGGACTACCTGTATTCTTTTTCTCTATCCTTGGAGAACCAGGGGTGGTGGCGGTGGTGGTGGTGGGACTACCCACCTCTGGCAGCAGAGGTTCCAACCTTTGGCAACTCCTAGCTCTTCCCACTGTAGCTTTACGTCCTTCAGTACCAGCCAGGATCAAATCTCCCCACCTTTGGAGCAATTCCACCTGGGCAGACAGACCCTAGTTGTGTGATAAATGCCAGGTGGAGACCTCAAGAGAAAAAAAAAAAACCTCTGGTCCAGGCAGAACAGCAGCAATCCCTTCGCTTCACCCCAAAGCAGGGAAGTTAGACAAAGGCCCACCGACTGCTTCTTGCTCCACGTTGCCCAGGACTAATCCAACCTCTGCGACTGACACCCTTGTCAACGTCTCCTTGCTCACGGTTTTGCCTTTTCCTGATTACCTTTGAGCTATTCTTCTTCTGACAGGCAGCATCGTTCTCGGGGGCTCCAGGACAGGCCTATTGGTGGTGGCAAAGTTTGTGGTTTATATTTTGGAGAAGGCAGGGAGGGAAGGAGGAAGGAAATGGAAATGGAAAAGGAAGGAAGGAAGGAAGGAAATGGAAATGAGAAGGTGGGAAGAGAGGGAGGGGAAATGGAAGGAAATGGAAATAGAAATGTAGGAAGGAAGGAAGGAAGGAAGGAAGAAGGGAGGGAGGGAAGGAAGGAAGGAAAGAAATGGAAATGAGAAGGTGGGAAGGAAGGTAGGTAGGTAGGTAGGTAGGTAGGAAGGAAGGAAATGGAAATGAGAAGGTGGGAAGAGGGAGGGGAAAAGGAAGGAAATGGAAATAGAAATGTAGGAAGGAAGGAAGGAAGGAAGGAAGGAAATGGAAATGAGAAGGTGGGAAGAGAGGGAGGGGAAAAGGAAGGAAATGGAAATAGAAATGTAGGAAGGAAGGAAGGAAGAAGGGAGGGAGGGAGGGAAGGAAGGAAGGAAAGAAATGGAAATGAGAAGGTGGGAAGGAAGGTAGGTAGGTAGGTAGGTAGGTAGGAAGGAAGGAAGGAAATGAGAAGGTGGGAAGAGGGAGGGGAAAAGGAAGGAAATGGAAATAGAAATGTAGGAAGGAAGGAAGGAAGGAAGGAAATGGAAATGAGAAGGTGGGAAGGGAGTGAGGGAAGAAGGAAATGGAAATGAGAAGGTGGGAAGGAAAGAAGGGAGGGAAGAGGGCATTTTGACAGCTGCCCAGAGAGCTCCAGTTCTCTCCCCAAGCAAAGCAGATGCACCATTTCCTTGCAAGACCCTCCACCTTCTTCCAGGCTCAACAGAAGCATCAAGACAAATTCTTCTCCCCCCAGAAATAGGATCCTCCACCTTCCATTCCCATAAAAGGCCACCCATGTCCTTCCTCCCCTGGGCTTAGAGGCTCCTGCACTCTCTCCTGAGCTGTACAAAGGAGTAGCTTCCCCGCCAGTCCTGCCCCCATCACCAGTTAGCTGAAGGGTGCCATCCCAGGCTGAAAATACCAAGGAAATGGTGAGTTTTGAACCAAGAATAAATTTTTAAAAATACTTATTTCTGGAGAGGAATCTCAGGGGACTCAGCTTAGTGGGAGATTGGTGGGTCTTTAGTTTCCTGTTTGTGCTCTTATTTCCAATCAGTTGGCAGGTGGTTTTTTTTTAATGAGATTTGGCCCCTAACTGAAACATTCTGAAACAGCTGGAAGAGAAACCTCTGTAAAAAATATTTCCCTTCATCCTTGCCTGGAGGGCTGAGTGGAGTTCTCTTGCCCTACCATCCTCTTTCACCGCTATCTCTGTAAGAGAATCCCAGATAAGTTTTGTTTATCCTCTGCAGAAAAAAATCCTGGTTTCTAAGCGCTGTTTCTCCTGACCGATTGGGCTGTATGTACCATTCTGTGCCTCTCTGTATGGAAGTTCCTCCAGGCCAGGGGTCTGAAAACTTGTTTGAGTTTGCTTAACTTGATAGGTTTCTCCGATGACTCCATGACCACAGTAAACGTTTGATTCAATTCGACACTGCAAAAAGGGGGCTAGAAAGGGAAACGGCCCAGGAAAAAAAGGGGGGGGGGGGTAAAAGGAAAAAGCGGGTAAAAAAACAACTGCAATCGTTTGGAAAATTTGTGAACGTCAGCACGCACAAAAACGTGTGCGTTCGAATTCTAAAGGAGAAGACCCACAATCATTTAGTAAAAGGGGATAAAGGGATCGTTTTGCTGATTCCAAATTTCAAAATATATTTCCCCTGCATTTTGGTAAAGCGCATTTTGGTGTGGGCTATATGAAGCACACATTTTTCATTTTGTGTTGAGAGCTGAATGCAACGAAATTTCATTTTAATGTATGCTGATTAGCGTACAATTAAAGTGGTAATATTCTATTCTATTCTTATCATTATTCTATTCTATTCTATTCTATTCTATTCTATTATCATTATCATTATTCTATTCTGTTCTGTTCTATTCTGCATTCTATTCTATTCTATTTTATCCTGCATTCTATTCTATTCTATTCTATTCTATTCTATTCTATTCTATTCTATTCTAATCATTATTCTATTCTATTCTAATTCTAATTCTATCCTGCATTCTATTCTATTCTATTCTATTCTATTCTATTCTATTCTATTCTATTCTATTCTATTCTATTCTATTCTATTCTATTCTATTCTATTCTGTTCTATTCTATTTTCTGTTCTATTCTATTCTATTCTATTCTATTCTATTCTATTCTATTCTATTCTATTCTGTTCCCCACCGCAGGCAGGAACGCTAACACCGGAGCAGATCACCGAATACAAAGGCATCTTTGAGATGTTTGATGAAGAAGGGAACGGCTTGGTGAAGACAGATGAATTAGAAAGCCTCATGAGTTTGGTCGGGATCAACCCCACCAAGCGAGACCTGGTCAACATGGCCAAGGATGTTGACAAAGACAGTAAGATGGCTGCCTTCCCAAGGGGGGTTGCCTTGGGTTCCTAAAAACGTCTGGCCCGGCACTCTTTGGTGTCCTCCAGAATTTCATGTCCTTCACAGTTTTCCTGATCCATGTCTAATAATCTGGCTGTTACAGCTTTTTTGCAAGTCTAGGCAGATTTGACTCAGTAATCTCTTTTTCCTCCAGAAAAAGGCACCTTCAACTGCGATGGGTTTCTGCTGTTGATGGGCATTTACCACGAGAAATCCAAAAATCAGGATGAGGAACTCAGAGCCGCCTTTAAAGTCTTCGACAAAGAACATAAGGGCTACATTGAGTGGGACACGCTCAAGTAAGCAGCCAAAGGCATGAAGTGGAGCCTTCTGGGTTCAGACGCAGAGAGAGGCCCAAGGAGAGAAAGAATGTAAGTGGGTACTTCAAGCTTTCTCATCTCCTCTGCCATTTTAGGTACGTATTGATGAACGCCGGAGAACCCCTGAACGAACAGGAAGCTGAACTCATGATGAAGGAAGCAGACAAGGACGGGGATGGGACCATTGACTACGAAGGTACTGGAAGCATAATCCTGCACATCATCCAGTGATGTCAGCCAAAAGGTCGCATTGAAAAACATACAGTTTAGAGTCGCCTCTACATAAATCAAGACCGTGTGGATATTTTAATTTATTGAAAGGACCTGGAATGGATTAGGCAATTCCTGGCCTGCAGGTCAACAGTCTAAAATGTCTCGACACTAAAGGAAAGAGGATGGGGAGGGAAGAAGTGCTAATTCTTAACATTGAAAAGGTAACAGTGCTGGTAAATAGCCATGGAGACTATACGGATACAGGTGTGCAGTTTTCATAGCAATCATATGACAATACTGTGAGAAATACTGGCAACCTTTCCAACTCCCCAGTTACAGTTGTTTTTTAAAATTAAAAGCTCTTACTTCTCTCCAAGCTGCCTGTCAGAATATCTTCCTCTGGAAGAATTTAGATGCTGGCTTGTTATACTGCTGAGACACTGTTAATGCTGCACATCTGTTCCTCCATTTTAAACTCAGTGCTGTCTTCCAGCTCCATCTTTGCAGTTAGCTAGACTGGTAGACGTTACTTTTAAAAATAAAGAGCCAGAAATGAAACCAAGTTACAACATCTGCCTAGGTTTGCTATAAACCAGTTGCTTAACTGCCTGTTTCATCTTATGCAAAGATACAAAGAGTCTCCCCCACGAGACGTCTTGGGAGGTCAAAAGCCAGAATTCTCCCGCAGCCTGGTTTAAAAGCTGAGAAAAAAAGATAAATTGGGAAATTTACAGGGAAAGCAAACAGGCTGGCAATTCCTCCAATTGTCCACTAGACGGCGCCATCTGGATAGAAACTGATTTATACACACATTTTGCAATAAACAAGTTGGCTTGAATTTCCAGGGTTTATTCTTGAGATTTCAAACTGCGGAGGATTTTGACTTCTTCACCCTTTGATTTCGTGCTGCTTTTAACTTTGAGTGGGCTAACGTGGGTGTGGAACAGGGGCTGATTTCGCAGGACAAATGACAATCCACCCACCTTAAGACTGACTGGGAAATACATTTTTCATGGCTGGCTGGGGAATTCTGGGAGTTGAAGTCCACATTATCTTAAAATTACCACGGTTGGGAAACCCCTATTCGGTCTCTGCATGTACAGGCAGTCCTCAACTTATGACCACAATTGAGCCCAACATTTCCGTTGCCCAGCTAGACAGTTGTTAAGTGAGTTTTGCCCCATGTTATGACCTTTCTTGCCGTAGTCATTAAGCGAATCGCTGTCGCTTAGTAACACGGTCGTTAATCGAGGACTATCTGTACAATCCTATCACCACCCCATGGAAACAAAGCGAGGTAAGAGTGGGGATCGGGGTCACCTTCCGTTCAGAACGGTGTCCTCCAAGACCTTATTCGCTGGTCCACCAAACTAGCCACACGTTGTGTCATTTTGCCCAACAAAAGGGCTAGTCCTGGGTGGAAATATTACCCAGTCTGCTGAAGTTCAGCCTTGGTAGCATCCTGTCAACATATTTGGGGGGGAAGGCAAGGAAGGACAGGGGTGAACAAGGGACATTTCTACCTTCTTGCTCTAACATTTGTTTTTCCTTCCTAGAATTTGTGGCCATGATGACGGGCGAGTCCTTCAAACTGACTCAATGAGACACTTTTCGGGTCGTCACTCCTGCCTGCTCCCTCTTCCTTCGACGATGCCAAGGGGGGTTAACCGCGACGGAACCTGGACACCAAACAGCGGCACGCAGTCCCAGCCCTGGTACGCCGCGAGAGTCTTTAAGCTGAGGATGAAACAAAAGCCTTCTTGAGCTGAGACTGCGCGATTTCAACCTTTAGTAGACCCACATTTGGACAGAATTTGTCCTCGCCGAGTTTGGTCAATAAAGCCCGGGTCAAATTTTAACACGCGAGGTTTTGGAAATAAAATGGGTGACCTCGGTACTTTGCATGCGCCCGTGTGTGTTCTTCAAAGCTCCCCAGGAGTTGGGGAGCTAACGGGATCGTCGTGTCTTCCGCTAAGCTGTAACCTGGTTTGTTAAGTCTTAGTCCAATGGATTGGGGGAAGCTGCCATTTTGGTATTAAACCAGAATGATGGTATCCACCCAGCCACTTAAAATCTATACAGGTAGTTCTCAACTTACACAACAGTTCGTTTAGTGACCGCTGAAAGTCATGGTGACGCTGAAAAAAATGACTTGTTTTTCACACTTACGACCATTGCAGCATCACATGATCAAAATTCAGATGCTTGACAACTGACTCACAAACGTATGACAGCTGCAGTGTCCCAGGGTCACATGATTTCCCCCTTTTGCGACCTTCTGACAAGCAAAGGGGGGGAAGGCCAGATTCACTTCACAACCGTGTCACTAACGTAACAACTTCAGTAACAGCTCTGACAAGAAAGGTCATAAAATGGGACAAAATTCACTTTTAACAAATGTCTCAGTTAACAACAGAAATCTTGGGCTCAGCTGTGGTCGTTAAGTTGAGGACTACCTGCACTGTGAAACAGGGGGTTCTCCAGAGGCTTGAACGATTCAAATGGAAAGAAACAACACAAACACACAAGTTCCTCAAAGGTTACGAGTATTAGAAACTACTTCAGATTTGTTCCAAAATTTTCTGCCAGGAATGAGATCAATGGGGAAAAACTGATCAGGGGAGTTTTTATATAAGCCTTCTCCCAATATATTGACCTTCTATATACAACACATATACACCCACAGAGAGAGAGATAAACATAAACATTTTTTAAGACGAATACCTAAAATACAAAAACGCTTCGTGGCCCAGCAGAATCCTGCTAGATGCAAAATAAGGAAATCAAGGGTTTCTTGGCAAAAAGACAGCGTCGTTCTGTAAATCCGCAGCAGGAAGGCAAATATCCCAACGCAGAGTTGACATCCCAACTGGACGCAAAAATATGTCCTCGGAGGAGACGAAGGAATCAGGGGCGCAGGAAGCGAGAAACCATATTCCGGTTTTGATTCCAGAGAAAACAAAAAGGACTTTGGTTTTTCCGAAAGAGTTTCCACCTTGGCACCGTGACAATATTGCCCCAGTCTATCGAAAGTAGTAGTAGGGAAAAAAATTAAAAATAAAATAAATGGGCTCTGGGTCCAAGCTTGGCCGTTACACAGCAACGAATCCCGTATTTCAGCAATTTGCTAGAAAATCCAGTCTTCCCACAAGAAAGAGAGATTAATCTGTATTTGCTCTCGTTTTTTTCTCCCCCCCAACGGCAGGGTGCGGGATGGAGACCCTCCGGCCCCCTTTAAGTCCATCAGCCAGCCATTTTCTGCTAATCCAATGTACTTAAGGTGGCTAGCCTCTAAGGGGGTGGTCTTGTGACCCCAAAAGCTTTTATGTTTCACCTTGGATAATTCAGACACGGACAGCAAGCATCTCGTTTCAGTCCACTCGAAATGTCCAATGGCACCTTCTCAGAAGTGGCAGGAGATACTGATGGTGGTGGAGGTCCCTCGAAGCGAAGGCAGATGATCCAATGTCCCTTGGTCCAATATTCTCCTCTTCCCCTATCTAAGAGACCACTACGATTGCTCGGGGGACGAAGTAGATGCACCCCCTGGGCTCTCCTGCACCTCCATGGGGCTGCCGTCGGATGTTTCGGGCAACGCGGGAGCTTCGTGCTGCTCCCCCGGCGAGGCTGCTGGTTCGCAGGCACCGCTGTCCGGTTTCTGGCCCAGCGAGGGAGTCTCGGCCTGGGACTTGGACATTCGGACGGCCTCGTCGTAGGAGGGGGGCATTTCTATGGCGTAGAGGCTGTAGGCCGGAGGACACGCCATATTCCTGTCCGGGTCTCCGTAAGGCAGTGAGAGCGAGACGTTGGGTGGGTACTGGAGAGAGCTGTAGGCTGTAAAAACAACGAAGCAGAAAGATTTAGGTTGTCCTACCATATTTGTTTGTTTAAGAAAATTTATAGGGCTGCCCAACTCACTCTTAGTGACTCACAAAAAGAATCATTCTGGAGTTTGGTGGCTTTTAAATCTAAATACTAATAATAGTAATAATAATAATTCACTCTCTCCCTGCAAAAGTCGGAAGAACAGGAAACTCCAATGTCAACAAGGACTTAGATAAGACTGCTTAGTTAGCCACAGTAACCTTTCCTGCTGTATAAATACTCTGAAGATTATCAGATGCTTTTTCAAACAGCCGGTAACCAAAGCAACGAAAGGAAGGGAGTATGTGGTCCCCACAAGTCAGGCCCAAAACTCTGGATTTTGAGAGAACGTCAGAAAAAGAGAGGGCCAGTGGGGTTTACTTACAGGTAACGGTGCTGTGGGCGGTGCTGTCATGCTCCATGGGGATGACGGTGAGGTCGTGTGCGTGGGGCGGGAAGGTCTGGCGCAGTGGCTGCTTGGTACGGCAGCAGAATTTGGCACAGCTGGCTCCAATCCCGCACATCAGGAGCACGAACACAGTGAGCAGGATAACCCTGCGGGGGAGAAAATGGGAAGAGATGAATTTCCCATCTGTAAGTGGGGTTGGAAGGAAGGAAGGAAGGAAGGAAGGAAGGAAGGAAGGAAGGAAGGAAGGAAGGAAGGAAGGAAGGAATGGAAAGGAAATAAATTGAAAGATGTAAGAGAGACTAAGAGAGAAAATGAGAAAGGAAGCCACATTGCATTTAAATTCCACTGGCTTCCAGCCTTGAGCCCACAAATGTTAGTGAGATGAGGTGCCAACAGGAGCTGGGATCATGCATGCCACTAAGCCAAAATTGGGTTTAATCTCAGTTTGTTGAGTAAACCATAATTGACTGGGCTCTTCTGAAGGCAAACCACGTGAGGCATTTGTGCAAAGTCTGAACTCGGGCGCATTCCGATATTCCTTTACGACAGGGGTCTTCAAACCTGGCCCTTTTTATGACTGGCTGAGGAATTCTGGGAGTTGAAGTCCACAAGTCATAAAAGGGCCAAGTTGGAAGACCCCTGCTTTATGAAGCCATTGTTTTTCCCTATGCCTGGGAAGGTTTGAAGTCACCCACATATTATTCCTTCTCTTGAATCATCACGGAGACTGGACGTAATTGTGGGTTGCAAGGCCCAGAAATGTGCAAACTTCCATAGGCAAAGAGCTTTTTTAAAAAATGCAAGCGTAATTGTGCATTTATATGTGTGTTTTTCAAAATTTGGATTGCTAACAAAGAATTAAGGGAGTACTGGGATACCAAAAAAGACTTCTCTCTCCCATATTTGGGCCGACAGGGTGCATCAAAGTAAAAAAGCATTCATTTATATGTGTGTATGTGTGTGCGCGCACGCGTTTCTCCTCCCCTTCACCAATTATAGTCCTGCCTGCCTGCTTGGGAAAAAAAAAATCTCATAAAACCTTTGCACTTTGATTAAGCAATCTGTGCACAGGGCAGTAAGGCAGATCGCCAGAAGACGAAAAAAAAGGGAAGCGGGCACCCAGAAAAGTTAGCGATTTAACATTTCCAGGTAAAACATTGCCTAAATCCTTCCTTAATGATTCACAAAAGAACTACCCTTTGTCATTTTTATCATCTGATTTCTCTTCTTAGGTCAAGGAATATATATATATTCTGAGGTTTTCGCGGGTAAAATTTTACGCGGGAGAAAACCCGAATAACCAAAGACCTACATATATTTTAATCCAGCAAGGATGTTTTCTCATAATGAGGGAAAATGGTGATTGTCCAGCAAGGTCTTATCAGTCACAAGCAAGATGGCTTACAAGCAGGAATGAAGGAATGGGATGAACAACTATGGCAACTTTACGACCTGTAGACTTCAACTCCCAGAATTCCTGAGCCAGGATGGGAATCTTTTTTTTTTGGGTCCTAGTTGCAAACTCTTTTAGAAAGCTCCTAAAACAGCATCACCCACCCCAGCAAGGCCAAAATTGTAGAAGTCTTTGACTTCAAGAAGATTTACACAATGCGTTAAACCTGGGTTGGCAAGACACAATTTCCGCCTTCACACCCTCTTGGGCGCTAAAGCACCTCACAGCTTAATGGAATGTCGTGATTTTAACCTTCCTAGGAAGGTTCCCTATGACATTGGGAACCCAGTGGCTGCTTCACTTAGGTGGCTTCTGCAAATGAAGAGGCTGGAGGCAAAAAAAGCAGTCGCACCCCATCGGCTTTTAAACAATGCTTATTTTATTCTCAAAACTTCCCCGGAAGCCGCCCGAGAGAAGTAGGCGGAACCCTGACCTCATCCTCAAATATGCCAAACATCCCCCAAAGCTAAGTCAGAATGAGAGAAGGGCCCGACCTCACACTGCCACCACCCAGCCATCTGAATCACCGCAAGGAGGAGAAACCACCCACTGTTTGTAGGTGAGGCAACTTCTCAAGTTTCTGATACACTCAGCCCAGGATGTTGACCCACTAACGTGGTGTGTTTCTGAGTCACGCCCGCCCACCCGCAGAGGTCAAGAACGTTGGCCAGTTGAGAAGAGAACCGATTAATTTTTCCAAAGAAACGAAGGCCGAGGAGGACGGGCCCTAGAACCCAATCTTGCTTGCCTCTCTGGGGCAGGTGGGATGGGCCAGGATGAACCCTTAATTGTGCACCTCTGGATGTTGCAAACTACCAGAGAGGGTTGGCATAGTAGTCCCTGCTCCTGCCTAGGGTGAGGAATTACAAATCCCAGGGTTCCCAGCCATTACGGTAGGGAACTGTAATTCCACAATAAGTCAGTTGGTAAGCTTTCTCTGAATCTGTGTATGTAGAGATACATCTACACCAGGGGTAGTCAACCTTGGCTCTTTTATGACTCGTGGACTTCAACTCCCAGAATTCCTGAGCCAGCACAGCACAGCTGGCTCAGGAATTCTGGGAGTTGAAGTCCACGAGTCATAAAAGAGCCAAGGTTGACTACCCCTGATCTACACAAACATAAGCACAGAAATATAACTTTTTCTACTCTAGTACAGGTTGTCCTTGAC